TGAAACACCATGTATTCATCATAACCTATTACAAAGATTTGCTAATTTAGTTTATTTTTCCAAGAGAAATATTCCATCGAAAAATAGAAAATAAAATTTTCACTTTATCATGATACGGTCTTCATTAATCCTTATATGAAAACGTAGGATATGTCATTTTTCTGATATATCAGTGGAGTCACTTAAATCACGATGCTACCCTTTTATAGATTTGATTTCTGAAAGACAACATAAACATGATGAAATAACAATTTATATAACAAACTTTTGTTGTTGATTAAATGCATAAGTAAATTTTAATGCTTTAAATTGATCTTGAGTCCATTGTATACTACTAATCTGTTTTTCTATATGATTTTGGGTACGAACTTGCATACAATCCAATCAAAGGTGCAATAATGAGAGCCATTGGAACAGCAATAGAAAAACTAATATCTGATGCAATTTCAAATACAAATAAAACTCTACAAGTGTACAAAAACTAAAAAGTTCAATTTCAATCATTGGATAAAATGCTATTAATGATGCTAGAGTAACTTCTATTGCTCAATATTGTCTATTTTACCAGATATATAATCAGTTAAACTATCAAATAAACATGCATAAATTAATTATATATATTGGATAATATAAAAGACGTTCTTGTTTTGAATTCATTATTAAATGAAATGAATCAATTCGAGGTTCTTCAAATTTAGAATAAATCTCATTGATAGATGAATAAAAATAATAATATCACTACGAAATATGGTACGAGGCTCGATACTATTTTTTTCGCAATTTGAAATAATTAAAAGGAAAAGAATCTGAAAAAATTTTAATATATAGAACAAAATATTGTCAATCCCACAGACATATTTGTCTAACAACACGCCAGATTATAGTAAATTCGTCAATCATGAAAATAGTGATCTTATTTTTTTCTTCGATTCATACGTCTGATTGTTTCATAAAAAAATCTGTTCCATCTTATAAAATATGTATATATGATTTTAAACAAAAATAAATAACGAAGAAAGTCATTTCTCCTTTGTTGATTATAATCGAGAATACACTATTCATGTCTATTATGTACCATTCTACATCGACAAGATAATTTTAACAAAAACATTGCTTACAGTTGTTACCTCGGTTCTGTCGTCTTCTAGTTGATATCATTCTTTTTTGTTTTTTTTCTTCCAACAAATATTTACAACATCATCTGAAACCTATGAAACAAAACAAATATCTACTCATTTAATGATAAGATAGAGAAAATATATATATAACCAACATATAAGTCTACACAACAAACATTTCATCAATAGTTAATAATGACAAGTCAAACTGCCGTCAACTTCTTTACGCTACCGGTAGAACTTGTCTACCGAATTTTAGATCATCAATCCGATCTCACAATCTTATGCTCGATGAGAAATGTATGTCAACGATTTAACCAGATCATGGATAGTTATGAACGATATCAGGTAAACTTTTTTGTATCATGATAGTTTAATTTTTATCCATTGACTCGCGAATTATTTTTCATTCTTACAATCTCTAATTAAGTAGAACGACTTAAATAAAATATACATGAACAGACTATTTGCCACTCGAACCAATTCATCAGTTATTAATTCTTCACGAAAAAAATTTCTTTTTTTCTTACCTCATCTAAACATTTCACCTTCCAAATTAGGTTTGATATCATAAACACACAATGTTTAGATAAGGACAAAAATAAAGAACAAAACATTGTTATTTGCTTTTTGCATGTATTTAAGCATCTTTTTCTTAAATACTATGTTGATAATAGAAAATCAATTCTTGAAAGAAACTAAATGTCAATAAACGAGTTTATCTTCTTATAAATAACGTCCTCGATATTTTCATGATAAATACTTTGAATCAATACTCCTTTAAGATCATGCGCAACTGTGGATGGAGAGAAGATTGACTCACGACAACATTCACATTCTGTCACATTACTCATACCTATACTATCAAGGTAGAATATTTGTACAAAAAAATATTATTTAAAGGACGTTCCAGCACGCATTCGTCTTTTACCTACAATAAGTATAGCATTAAGGAATAAATTCCTTCTTTCACAAACATCTAGAAATTAAATCAACTCACAGATCAGAGTTTTCCGTCTCTAGTTCACTCTTATTAACTTCTTTTCAGTCTCGATTATCAGAAACTGTCACCGTATAATGTACATTATATAATAAACTATAAATATTCATACTGCTATTCATAGCCCTTGAAACGGAATGAGAACAACATTCTTTTCACTGCTCTAGCCGAATATAACGCCGACCCACTATTTCGTATTTTTAGTTGCATCGTGTATTTTCCTCCACTTTTTTATCTAGACACTCACCATACTAAACCTCCCGTACAATCATATGGGAGATGCTACAGCGCAATATTTGTGTGATGCATTAAAATACAACACAGTAATTCCCATTCTCTTTTTTTCTATATCATGGTTTTGCCTCTACTTATTCATGTAGACACTAACCACACTAAATCTTTTTCACAATCCAATCGGAAATATTGGAGCCCAATCTTTGGGTGATGCATTAAAACACAACACAGTAACTCTCATTCGCTCTTTCTCTACACCATGTCTTTACCATCACGTAATCGTCTAGACACTAACGAACTTACATCTCTGCGGAAATCCAATCGGAGATGTTGGAGCACAATCTTTGGGTGATGCATTACGATACAACACAGTAACTCTCATTCTGTTTTTATCTATAATATGTCTCTACCTTCACTTTTCCATCTAGGCACTTTCAAGACTAAATCTCTCGAAAAACCAAATCGGAGATATTGGAGCACAATCTTTGAGTGATGCATTAAAACATAACACAGTAACTCTTATTCTCTCTTTATCTACACCACGTCTTTAGCACCACTTATACATCTAGACACTTTCAAGGCTAAACCTCTCGAAAAATCAAATCGGAGCTGAGGGAACACAACATTTAGGTGATGCATTGAAACACAACACAGTAACTCTCATTTTCTCTTCGTCTATACCTCTAATCTTACATCTAGACACTCACCATATTAGATCTATCGGAAAATCCAATTGGAGATGTTGGAGCACAACATTTAGGTGATGGATTATGTCACAACACAGTAATTCTCATTCTCTCTTTATCTATATCACGTCTTTACCTCCACTTGTTTATATAGACACTCATCTCATTATACCTTCGATATAATCAAATTGGACATGTAGGAACACAACATTTAGACGACGCATATAAACGCAATATAATAAATTCCGATAGTAGCTTCTGGTTATTTTAAATATAACATCTTGTGTGATTGATATGCAACGCTGTTTTTTTCTCTTCTCTTCTTCTTTCAGACAACTATATCTTCTTATGTTTTTACTGTGTCTATCATAAATCATTCTATCTTTCTCTCTTATTTCTCTCTAATTGTTCTTCTTGAGGGTGTGGGCGCGGATGAAATAAAATATCCACACCCTCTAGCCAGACCTACCCGTATCCAGCTTAGGTGTTATTTTGAAAATGATAATACATGTCGATCTGTATTCTTTATTGGTACTGAAAGTAAATATATAAGAGGATGTAACACGCTTAAGAGTTTTTCGTTATGTACACAAAATCAACAAATAAAAGAATTCTACCGATTAAAAAAAACCAGTACAAAGTAGAACATCAATCGTGCTGCACACTATATTTAAAACAGCACCTTTTTTGTGTACTCAAAAAGTGAGTACACTACTAGAATCGGTCAGTGTGTCCGGCCGTTTACACGATAACGCACGAAAGGAGAATCAGACTGAGGTGAAATTTTCTACACAGTTTAGTCTCATTGATATCTCGGTCGAGTTCGAAGATGAGCTCAATCGATTGTACTATTGCTGAGTTATAAAAAAATTCTCATTATTGATCAGACCATCCTTGAGGGGGGGGGGGGGTACAGGAATTTTTTTTCAAAAAGAATATTATTCTCAAAATTATTCACACCATATATAAATCGACTCAGTTTTTAGCGCTGATTCCGAATCTGATATTAGTTTTGAACGAAATCGTAGCTTTCTAACAAAATAGCACCTGAAAAAGGTCTCAAAATGCACAAAAACTGTATCCAGACACCAAATTGCCTAGATATGTCTCATATGACTAGTAGTTTTGGCGATTTCCAAATACCTGGTTTAGTAGCTAGTCAAAAGAACTATCGAAAGGTAAAAATCCGAACTCGATAGCTATTAATATTGGTGAGTTATTATGAAAATACTGATGTCTGTATCTATCGTATATCTCTTACAAATTCATGAGGTTGCTTATGATCGTAATTCCCCTAGATACAAACACAAATTCATTTAAAAATTACTCCTCTTACCTAGTGTTTTTGGAGTAGATAGAATTTGTGAAGAGTCCTGAATAATGATAGGGGATAACTATGGTGCGTTTGTGGTTTCCTCAACATTACACTGCCCGAAAATGATGAAGAACTCACATATACTGATATTGCCGTTAAAAGTGTTTATTGTTGACTAAGAATTAAAAAAACAAGGTCAATGTCTATTTCCACTTTTTGCGGTACACATAACTCTCGGATAAAATCCGACATTTCCACATTTATTTATTTCTTTATATTGATTTGTAAAAATCATATATTCCTTTAGATACAAATCAACGGCACACGTACAACTGACTGTTATCACCACACCAGTTTCGATCATCACAATTAAATAAATTTGATATACAGTAGTTGTTTTTACACCGATATAAATTATCACTACGTGAACATGTAGCGACGGCTATCAACAAAAGAAAAATTTCATGTTTAATCAATGCACTAATTATGAAACTAATACTAACGAAAATTGATTGCTACAAGAATCATGAAGCCGCTTCCATCTTTTCCATCAGTATTGGATATGAACTGAATGACTGCTGTATTTGAATTTCTTGTCTACAAAACACAATAATAAAAACAATAGATTTTATAAGTTTAAAAAAGATTTAATGTACACGTAGATAATATTTGCTTCTTCCACATTGTTGTGATTGATTTTTATTTAATATTGCTTCTTGATCTATTTTTCCATCATACACTACAAGTCTATCACCATTACATGCAATATCCATTTTATCAATAACAACAATAATACGTTGATTTAATGTTGATGCTTTGATTGTTAAAGTACAATTGAGATTTTCTGCATAGGTACCTGAACTGAAACTAAAGAATGTTCCCGGCAATTTATCACCATTCATCGTAATTGTTTTACCACAATTTTTGTCCATATCTATGAATAGAGAATTTAGATAATTCTGTAAAAAAATTGTTTACTTACTTGTCGAGCTAAATGTTGAACCAGTACCACGAGTGTATGATATTGATGGTAAAAACAGTAGAAATAATGACACTACTACTACTTTGATCATGTATATTTTTTAATTCTGAAGAAATAAGTATTAAATGTCTGTTATCATATAGCAACACAAAAAACGTGCTTATTTATCTTGTATACGTATATAGAAATATATCTACGAAATTACTTATTATATTTTTATAATGTATGACTGAAAGTAAAGTAGGCAGATAGATCTTGTTTTTTTTTCTTTTCATTTTCTATATTGCGAACGTCAATGATATTGTAAAAGAAAAGTTGTATTGTTGTTACTGCCAAGTATTAAAGTACATTAGATATTAATGATGCTATGAAAAAAAAAAGTATTTCTCTCTCAAAGAAACAAACGATGTGAATGATTATACATCATTATAAAGTGATTACTCGATTATTTTTTGTACATTATAAATAACTTGAAGAAACCTATCGTATGACTTCCAACGTATGAAACAGAAGAATTAATATAAAAGAATAGAAGTTTACCTATTTCTGAGCATTTTTATATTTTGTAAAGTTTTTTAATTGTATTATCATTAATATACATGGGCGGCGCACCAGCAAGCAACGAGTTAGCAATTGCATGCCCTAAACAAAATTTGGGTATGCAATAAATTTTTATTGCATCTCCAAATTTTTTGTGATTTCTTTGTAGATTAGAGCAAGACTGTCTAATTCAGTATACATATGTTTAATACAATCTCGTAGTTAATATACGAGTGTTGATCAATATTATCTTATGACGCTATATTGTGTTATTTTGATGAATGTATTTCAGATCGTACACATCCGGCACGAAATCGTTTAAGTAATACATAATCATTTTTTCGATTATTCTTGACGCTCTTATTTTAGAGCAAAAACTATTTAAAATTTTGCGTTCGCCTGAGAATACTAATGTAGCCTTAGATTAAGTCTCGTCTTTTAAAATTGATTAGCTGATGCTCAAATTATCCTTATCTATTTTCATCGAAAGAATTGAAATTATATTAAATAGTAAATAACTGGTGGAACATAATGATTAATCTTTTTCTGCTGCTTGTTTTCAATAATATTCAATTTTTCGTTGTTTGTTTTTCGTGAAATTTAATTTATTTTTAATTTATTAGCATATATTAGAAGTACAATTGAACAAGAACGATTATCATCTTTAGCATTAATAAATATAGAAAAAGATTATCAAATCGATATTGATACCATTGTAACCCATTTTATGTCAAAAAAGATCAAAGAAAAAATTTTTTTTGAAGTTAAATAAAAGAATTGTATGTTTTTCATGAACAAGAATTGATTTTTTTCTATTATTAATACATATTTACCAACACATAACTATTCGAAGAGTTAAAAATAAAAGAATATTCTTAAACATATAGTTCTCTCAAAAAGAAGCAGCTGTTAAAATATTTAGAAAACTTTTATGTAATTATCAAGTTTCACACTCTATGGTCGGTGAAAGAAGGCCGTTAGAAAGACGAACATGAGTATTTGCTAAACTCGCTTTGAATAAGTTTGTTTTGAAGAAAGAACGTTAGCCTGTTATAAGACTCTTGATTCACTCTATAATGAATTAGTATGCAACGTTCTAGCGCTATGACTTTGAAAGATTAAGTTTATAAAAAAAGCTTCTACTACACTCTGCAAAACCCATCACTATATAGCCTTATTTAAAAGTTTATTGCATGCCCTAAAAAACTGAAGCTGCGCCGCCCATGTTAATATATAGTATAAAATTAGATTAGTACCATGAAAAAATGCAGATAATATTTGACAGTATACGTTTTATTGAAAAGTTGGTGAGTACCACTCAGATAGCAAGACAAAATCTATGTGATATTTTTTTTATAGAATTCATATCTAATGTGTGAATGCTCCTCCTTTTCCTTGCTTTTATTGTAGAACTGATAAATTTTGAACTTTGTAAACTTTCTAGAATTTTTACATAACTTTAATTTCGTAAAAATATCTCTTCATATAAAAAAATTTAGGATTTCATGGTTGAAAAAAGTAGATTTAAGTGATAATCCGGTTAGACGATGGCTGAAACAAGGTACAAATTCATCAACATTCGTTTCTACGTTATTTAAAACTGGTGATCGATGTTGTGAAAATAAAGGATGGCAGTCTATTGAATGTCATATGAATAATAAAAAATATCGTGATAGTATAAAACTATTCAAAGAAAATACCACATTTACTGCTCGAACTGAATCAACTCTTTCAATGATAACAGTTGCTGCTCTCTAGCCAACGAATATTAGTTTTCTAGATCAAGTGATACGGACCGAAACGTTATTGGCGACGAATGCAGTACAACGTAGATATGGTTATCTTTCATCCGATGAATTTAGTGATTTATTTAAAAGAATATTTCCGAGTTCGAACATTGCACAGCAATTCAAAATGAAATGGACAAAATAGTCATATATGATTTTGCATGGTCTTAGACCATTTTTTCATTGTGATACTGTTTAAGATATAAAACAGTGTGAACGATTTGTATTATGCTTCAATAGGCAATTGGACTTATTATTGAAGTATTAGAGTATCGAGAAGCAAGTTGCTGTTACATGTTATTAAAAATCTGTGTTTCTTGGCCATGCACCAGTTCATATTGATAGAGATACTGTTTTTAATTCTTTTCGTACAGATGATTGGACGAGATAACCCTAAGGTGAACAAATCAATCGAAACGCTATTTGATGAAGAACTGAAAAAGAGTTGATGGAGAATTGCTCAAATGGATCCATGCCATATTTATGCAGCTTATAATGCGCTTAAATCAGGTAAGAAGCTGGCACAAAAATATTCAATAGGATTAATTTGTGCTTTCAGGTACAACAACATTATACTGATAGTTGCTCTTGGTTTCATAATTCACCAGCAAGAAAAGAAGATTCTATAAAAAATATCGATGAGCTGAATGAAGTAATTGAAAAAAACGTTCTATACTTTGTTTGTACATGTTGTTTGTTACTCGGTAAAGTAGTTGATCAAGTTTTAAGTAAGTGGATTTAAAAATAACATTCCGTCGTATACCAGCAACCTGTTCTCTAAACAGCTTGATGCGAAGTTTCAAATGAATATTTTTTCATACATTTGCCCGAAAACAATAGAGCACAAATAGAAAAAAAATACAATTCAATCAAATCCTGTTTATCATCACACGTTTCGAAAACTCGTGTTTTGTTCATCTCGTACGTGTGCTGTGCAATTTTTGACAAGTTTTTCACTATATTTCAGAAAAGTGATTCAACGATTCATTTATTATATCAGGAATTATCTGATTTGTATCATACCGTTTTATTATCATTCTTAACATTAGAATATATTGGAAATAAACAAGGTAGTAAATTGTTATTAATTGACCCTAAATTAGCTGAAAAACAATTAAATGATAAACAAATGCGAATGGGTAAGTACAACAAAAGACTTGTAAAACTGTTCATCCACTTTGAGGTTAGGCGAAGAAACCAGAAAATCATTAGCACTATTATCCAAAGATGAAAAAGAAACGTTTTATTCGAGATGTAAGAAATTTTTTCAACCAATTGCTTCCTGTTTAAAAACAAAAAAATGATATTATTGTTCATATAGGTCGATTTATATCTGATTTACTCTCTTTGAATGAAGTTAATCGTCTTACTGATGAATGGTTAATGTACTCTATTGAAACAACTGATGATTCATGGATAATTAAACGGAAGTATATTGATGTTGAATACCATAAAATTAACTATTATTGGAATAAAGCACTTTCGATCGTTCGAAGTAGTGGATATCCAAAATATCTAACATTATACAAGCTCATTAGAAATATACTAATTATTTCACATGGTAACGCAGACGTTGAACGTGGTTTCAGTATTAATCAAAATATTCTTACAGAAGATTGTACTCTTTTATCAGAAAAATCAATCAATGGACTTCGTACTACTTATAATGTAGTCAAATTTTTAGGTTTTGATTCAATACACAAGGTAAATAGTTGTAATAAGAATTAAGACTATTTATTGATGGTGAATGTCTTTATTTCAGATGCCAACCAATATCGATATGCTTCGTGCAGTTCAAAAATCTACAGCATTATAAAAAGAAGAAGTATTGAAGATGAGAACATTCATTGTAGCTCAACAAAAAAGAAGTGAACATCGTGAGCAAAAAGTGAAGTTAAAAATAAAAACTATCTGAGCGGGGATGTGGGTGTAGATATGGATGTGAGATAAGAACAAGGCTCACGTCCACACCCACCCACACCCTCAAGATGGTTCTCTCTTTATTTTCTTATATGAAGAATCGTTTATCTTTTCTTTCAATATAGTTGAGTCTCTGCGATAACTTTCTATCTAGTACAAATGTAAGTATATATCGTATCTTTATATGTTTATTTCAAAAACTGACAATTAGTAATAAAGAATAGATAGAAATAGCTGTTAATTTGTATATGATCGAAATTTATGTCCATTAAATCGTCTTTTTTTTAAAGTTTTAAGACCATCAATTAATAACGATCCTGAATGTATATTCGTATCCGTTTTTTCGACTCCATTCTCACTGAGATCATATGTTGGTACATTAGAATCTTTGAGATCAAAAAGTATTGAAAGAATTTCTTGAATACGTTGTTTGATTGTTTTTTCAAAATTAAGATCACTGGTACTTAAACCAATCGAAAGTGTTGATGTAAGAAATTGAAATTGTTGTCGATTTGCTATAGCAATCTTTGCTACTTGAATCTGTGCCTCCGTTGGATTGATAGCAAAGAGACGATCAAATTTCCGATCACCTAAATCTTTACGTAAATCGTTGAAAAATTGTTCTGTAGCATCGATTGCTAGTTTAGCTGCATCAAAACTACAATACTATTCTTTTATGAAAAGAAAAACGAGAAATCAAACAAAAAAAGAAACTTACTGAAGATGATAATGTGGAGAATATAATGGTGTCATTGTATCTTTATTGATACTACCAATAGCTACCTGATGAGATGTTGTATCCATCACAGAGCCATGTGAACATTTTTCTACATTTGTTGGTTTTATTATTGGTTCATTATTTGTATTAAATTGATTTGACATATAACTACTAGTAAGTAAACCTTGATTATTGATATCATTTAAGATGTTGTTTTTACAATCGTAATACTCCATTGGACAAGTTTTTAGAACAATTTTTTGCATTAGATTCTAAATAAAAACAGATTACATAAACATAATGATAGCAGCTGAATTTGAATAGCTTAACAAAGATGAAACTATAAACTCAAAAACGAAGGCTGCTCGGTAATAATTTCTATTGATAAGTATATTTTCAATGTAATATTAATCCTACACATTTTGTTTGAATCTTTGTACATCCGGTATTGGTGCATGTAGCCTGATTTATTCCAGCTACTTGACCAATATCTTCATGAATACCAATTCGATCATTTATCTTTGTTTTACCCATTTCAATCCAGTTCGAATGAGAATAAAAATCTTGAAGTGTATGAAGTAAATCTCCTATTCGTCCACGTGCTTTATCTAAATCTTTATTTGGATCATTTACATCTTCAAGAACTAAATAGAAAAACTTAGATAAAATATTTCATTGATAAATTTTACTTTTATTTCGTAATTGAATTATTCGATCATTGCTTTCTTTGAATGATTCACTATCAAAATGAGCTGATGGTAAATTCTTTGTTGATGGATTCAAATCGACCAAAGCATCTCTTACTTGAATCTTATCAATAATACTTTTCAATGGATAGGAATATAATTTTACTTGATCATTTGTCCAATCAGGATGAGCTAGTTGATGGAGCTCGTCAATTGTATGTTCAGCTTTAAAATTTTCCACATCAATACTACTTTTACTTTGAATTTGAGCATCAAGAAAAAAACGAGTAAGACTTCGAATAAATCCAAGTTGAACTAGTTCTGTATGAGTAATACCTATAATAGAGATGTAAAATAGAAATTTATCGTTGAAAAATGCAAGTTCTTACTGTTTCCAGCTTGACCACCAAGTCGAATTGCTGGATGAGGAATAAAGGCATTCGCGACAAAAGATTGTACATTTATAAGTAAAAAGTAGAATGTAAGCATATTTTTATATCGATTGTTGTTTTTGTGAGTAGACGTACTAATGTCATTCAAATTTTTTTCTTTTCGATCTTTAATACTACAGTATACATCATGCATATGTACATAATAGACGTATTATAAATTAAGACTCAATTTCAATGGTCTGATTCATGATCGATTATTTGGTTAAATATTTTGAATACTCTGCTCTATACTTAATTTGATGAAACACGATTCAGTATTCGGTGTACATTACATGAAAAAAACCACCGAACGATATTCTTTTTGCAATAATAACACGGTCTATAGAATGAACTTCAATTCTCTTTCCTTTCATATGAATATGCACACTTACAAATTATATCAAACTATTTTTATTTTCAAGGCAATGTAATTCTTTTGGTTGAAGAAGAAAAAACGTATTTACGTGTTGTGAGGCGAACGGTTTTCGATCGTTCTGTTCTTTATGCTATTCTCAAAATATCGCGGTAAAAAGCTTGACAGTAGTGGGATTCGAACCCACGCCACAAGTGACCAGTACCTGAAACTGGCGCCTTAGACCACTCGGCCATACTGTCACTACCTTTGTGTTAGTAGACATGACTTCATCTTATTTGAATTTCAATGAAAATAATATTTCCGTTTTTTTTAATGATTTGTCATCAGGGTTGTAATATAAAGAATAAGTAACGAATAGAAAACTTTCACTCATTGTTTCATCTAAAATGATGAATAACACAAAACATTATTTATCTGTTAAGGTTTGATGATCAGACAAATCATTATTACTCTAATGTTACAAATTCAAGTACATAGTTTAGTGAATGAATATTAATTTGCAAAATCGCTCATTTGGAACTTTTTATTTCATACATCTATTAGAAAATGACACATGGTTTTTTTTATATAAATAAAGACTTACAACGAGAGAAATTATCAAATTTCAGACAAGCTTGTAATTACTGGAGCAGTCACTATTCTAGTTTATGTCTATATTAGTGAAAAAAATAGTTTTAATTTGAATCTAAGAAGGTGCTGTATGGAATCTTTTTGTTTTAGAGAATATTTGTCTTCATATTCACTATCAGGTTAGGCGATGTATTTGTGTCATTTATACGTTGAATCATTAATACCCAGTCATCAGTAGAAGTAGGTTGAGTAGGTATGTTCCATGATCCAGCCTTTGATGGGATCCAACCTTCATCTATAACTGAATAGGTACCATTGCGTGGATTAAACCATTGAGATATATATATACTAGTCGGGGACAAATTTCTAACTGTTCCATTATAAACAGTACCGTTCAATTGTAATGGTAAATATGCAATTACTAATGTACGATTATTACCATCCGTTTTTTGATATGGTCTTTGAGTATCAGTCGGTGCAGATATCCAATAAATAGCATTTTGATCAGGACTCAATGTCCACCAATCAAATGATGTCCAAAAACGTGCCATAAAAGACATTTGTTCGCCCACAGGAAAATCAATAGCAATATTCCACGCTCGTGTATCACTACCTCTACCACAATTAAAACTTAAATCTTCTATTGTATAACAACCCCACCAGATTCCTTGTGCACCATAAGTAAAACCAAATGTTCCTGCAATTTGTGATTGCCATGCACTTTGTCGAGTTTTCCATTTTGGTGTAACTGTTCCACCACCGTAAGGTGGAATTATATCTTCATAATTAGCTTCATCTTCAAGAATGGGTCGTGCTGGAATAGCATTATATTGTGCAAGCCAATAATCCACTGAATTCACTCGATTATGAGCTTGTTGAAGAGTGACAAATCCATACCATGACTGATCGTGATATGCAATAGGATTTGTTGCTGCATTATGCATACTATTTGCTCGTTTATATGGATCAAGATCAAATACATAAGCAGCAACGCTTGCCCAGCATGTACCACATGCTCCAGCATATTCATCATTATATTCCTGTGCAGTCATCCATACAGTAGGATAGCCACCATATCGTGCAAGTATGTAACGTGCTAATCGTTTATGGTCTGATTCAACGGAAGAATTTTTCATACTACGACCAATGCCTTGTGCCATTGCAATTACCATTCCTTTATTTGCTAAATATTGAATACGTTGATCAATATTTTGCCAAAATTTTGTATTTAAATCTATAAAAAATCTACCGTCACCCCATGCTGCTCCACCTTCATTATATGGTGGATTACCTTGTTCATTGTTATTAGCAAATGTCTCGGCTTTCCATACAGTGAAACCTTGCTCTTTACGTCGATCAATTAATCCTTTAAACATTGAACTAAAACGTGCATCATTTGATTCATTAAATCGTTCTGCAATATTAAAACCAGACCAATGTGTATCTCCTAACCAATAGAATGGTTTTCCATCAGCATACGTTAAATATCTGTTATTTGTACTAGGCTTTAAAAATCCATGCTGATAGATTGGTAACAATCCTGTATACGCAGTGCACATAATAGAACCAGTCTGATTATTAAGACCTATATCAGTGGCTTTTGTCTTGTATGTCCAAATACCAACAACAGTAGGAGCAAAGCGAACTTTCCACGTTTGTCCACCGTCCCAAAAACCGGGCATCATCATAGTATTTCCAGTTGGTGATGTAAATATTGCATTGAAATCAT